CTTCTGCTCACGAACCACAGACTCAACGCTGACTCCCCCACAATAACTGCAGACGGAAAAATAACACAACCGAAAAACGACGTAAGGTACCTTGGAATCACAATCGACCACAAACTCTAATTCACTAAACACACATGAAACACCAGAACAGAAACGATAAAAAGAACAAAACACTTTCGATCACTAACATACAAGGACAAAGGAATTAGTACAAATACAGCGACAAAAATATACAAAGCGATCTGCAGACCCCTCTTGGACTACGGACATATACTCATCGCCAACGGAACAGAAAGGACAAAACGATACATACAAACAACAGAACAAATTGCACTAAGACTAATAACACGAATAAGACACCCCCAAAACCCACTGCACAACCCTTCCAACCAACTACTATACGAACGCACAAACACGACAAAAATTTCGGAAAGACTAATACACTTACAGACAAAATGGACAAACAACCCCCACAACTGGACCATACTGGATCCCCTTTGCCTCACAAGACCGACAAAACACTCCCGTTTTCGTTCCCCAGCAGCCAATAGCCTTTTTCTGTAGGAAATAAAGATTATTTATATATATATATATTCTGATGTTGTAGGTCCATTCGGGTTTCTTGCAACGGAAGATGGAGTAATTCCCGGAAATGCAGGACTGAAAGATCAAGCAGCGGCCATAAGGTGGGTTCATGATAACATTGGGTTATTTGGGGGAGATCCGGAAAAAGTTACACTATTCGGACAAAGTGCGGGTGGAGCGTCGGTTGGATATCAGTTACTTTACAAGAAGAATGAAGGTAACTATTTATTTCATACTGCATTATAGTAATTAATAAAATATCAAGAATAACGAAATTAAATAAAACGTGTTAGCGACCAGATATAGAAATGGTTAAGGCTGAGATCTATTGGACTTTCTTCGTTCTAGGCTTGTATCATGGTGCAATATTGCAGAGTGGAAGCCCATTGAGCTCATTTAGTTTTATGGGTGATATTAGCGCTAGAGAATATGCTTTTGATCTGGCGTCCCAAATTGATGGCGCAGTGGATTTTGGAAATGATACGAATTCTCTAGTAAGCTTCTTATTGAATGCTACAGGACGACAGATTGATAAGGCATCTACTTTAACCACCGTAACCGTAAGTACAGATGCTTTATTTGTAACACCGACAAATGAAGCAAAATGATAAAGGAAGAGAATATAATGGATTTTCTAAAAGAGGCTAAATAATCTGGTCTATCAGAAGAGTTTGGCTATCGCCGCCATTGCTTGAAACTGATGAGTTTTTGTTCGTGCTTTGCACAAAATTTGTAATTCGAACAAATTAACACTAGTATGTTGATAAACGATAAATATTTAATATTTAAACGTTTGTGTTCCAGTCTAGACCGTTACCTGTTATCGAAAAAGATGTTGAGGGAGCCTTCCTGACAAGGGAATCATATGAAATTTTGTCCGCTGGTGATTTCCTTAAAGTGCCAATTATGCTGGGCACCACTTCTGAAGAAGATATTTATGCTGCAGATGGTAAACTTGATATCTGATTTGAAATTAAACAATTTACATAGTTTTCTAATTTGCAGATTTGGATTCGTACACTACCAAGTTTGAGGAATATGAATCAAATCATGCCAAATTTATCCCATCAAAAGGATTCCACCTAAAAGCTGGAATAAATCAAACTTTTGTTGGCGAAGAAATATATGATATGTATTTTACTAACGTATCAACTGAAGATAAATTGGGATACTTTTTTAGAGTAAGTGAATAAAGATGTTTAAGTATTTTTAACGACCATATCAACTGAAATAATCAAACAGAAACTTTCCATTTCAGTACAACAGTGACAACCAATATTCAAAACCGGTAATTAAACATGCTGATTTAAGTTCCAATTACACAACGGTCTACTTTTATATATTTTCTTACGACGGTCTTATGGGAAATTGGAATATAACTGTACCTGGTAAGTGGGTGGAACTAAGAATCAATAGTGGAAATAAAACGACAATTAGCTAATGAACGAGATTTTATAAAAATAATCGAGTAAAGCGATGGATTAACGCTCATTATTTGGTATAGGTGCTGGATTAGTTGGACATGGAGAGGATGACCGATATATTTGGAGAGTAAGATCCAGCACCTTCACGAATTATGACCTATCAAAGTACCCCGCAAAGGATGTATTGGTTCATGATAGAGTGATTACTCTTTGGACTAATTTTGCCAAATATTTGTAAGTATAATAATTTGGTATAGTATACCTTGGCCTCTATAGTATACCTGATATTATTAACTAATTAATTTTGAAAAATTGTTAATATTAGTTCAGTTTAAAAGCAGTTTTTAAAATTAAAAACTCGACTGTTTATTTACCTTTCTGCTTATTAACGCATATTAATTTTTTTTGGTAAATCCAGCTTCAATGAAACAAAATATCTGTTTTTAAACTTGAGTTGATGTTGAACATTTCAATTATTTGCTGTTTTTATTTTTATTTATTTAAATTTGTTTTTGAATCAACACTCTTCTAAGAGATCGCATATGTAATTGTGTAAAAACGGGGTTCTACTTATTCACGTTTTAAAGTAATTATTATATTATATGATATAAAAGATTGTAGAAGTCGTCTATTTATAAATACATAAAAATAAAGCATAAATTATTGGAGAAACTGACCCCTCGTTAATTGAGTTAAACATTTTAAGAATTTCATATGCAGATAAATCAGTCCGTAAGGACAATATTTTCCAACTGTTTCATACTTTGCAATAATGGACGCAAACATAATCCATTATTTATAAAAACATGTAATATATTATTTAAGAAAATATTTATTTCGTAGAAATCCTACGCCCAATTCCACTAAACTTCTTCAAAATGTTTTGTGGCCTACCGTGAGTAACAACACATTTAATTACATGGATATTGGAAATGATTTGGTTGTGCGAGCGAACCCGAAAAGTCCTTATTATGCTGGTTGGTCCAGAATTTATGACCAATACAATGAACGTCCATTTACAATTTTTTAGAGTGCTATACCTATTTCAGTTATATTGCAATTAATAAAGTTGATAATTTTTGAACTAATTCGCATTTTATTTAAGTTCCATTTGATCCAACCGGTAAGTAGGTCATCGTTAACTACTTATAACACCAATTACTTACTTACCAGTTTAACATAGATTGAGCATTGGTTTTTTCAACAGTTATAGTTAACTTAAATTCAGTCAATTAACTTAACTGTTAAATTAAATTTAAATGTGAACGTAAATATAAGATTCAAATTGTTGGGCAGTTGTATACCTAACACACTTGCTTAATAGTGAAGAAGTTAATTCAGAAAATTTACGTTGGCGTTTCGACACCAATTCTTTAAACTTTATTAAAAGGCACAAACAAATGTGTTTATTAGTATAGATAAACAACGATAATTGAAGACAAATCATACATATGTGAAAAGTTTGCTTTTTTATACGTATTTAAATTATTTGTTGATGGTTCCTTTGCCAAAATTGTGGAACCATCCAATTTAATTTTGTGGCCATTACCAATTTTGTGGATATTCGGTTTTTTTGCAAAACAAGCAATTTTGTAAGTATTTGAATACTTTAATATAAAAATAAAAAATATACAATCAAAGATACCTCCCAGATAGCACAAAATATTACATACATATTTAGGAAATATTTATATGTTTGCTAAATATTTCAGATCAAAAGCAAGTATTTCTTAAATATTATTTTTTAAATATTTGTTTCTAATATTTAATTAGCATGAAACAAATAAGTTATTAATAATTTTCTTATTACATAATACTTTTTGTACCTATAACACCACTAACACGCAAAAAGTTACTAATATGTTATTTTAATAAGTGGGAACAAACTTTAGAACATAATATTTCAATTTTCATTGGTCAATGAATAGAAAATATTTCAGAGCAAAAGAAAATATTTTTTAAAT